ATCAAACAACAAAACCTGGCAAATCATATGTCCTTCTCAATGGTTTCCGGAGGAGCTACCATTCCGAATTAAATTGCAAGACTGTAAATTTATAGAAGAGTTTTGTTGGTAACTCCTGCTCCGGAATTCAGCAGTGAAATAATCTGCGACTTGAAGGGGAAAGGCTTGTAGTAAAAAGCTTATAACCAGTATTTGCGCACCTACATTTTGCCTGTCCATGTATTTTGTACTTGAGCGAAATGAAGTCCTCAGAAATTGTAACCTTTCAACTCCTCATTTCGAAGAAACATGCTCAAACTTTGTTCAGTTGATGGAGCCTGTGTTGGATTTTGGTTTGTGATTTGTTGTACTTTGCCGGACAGTCCCAAGCCACAGTCTATGTCACTATTCCACAACTGCAATATTGCTTTGGAACGAGAGCAGTTCCTGTCACCATGTTTCCGTTTGACGATGACATACTCAAGCATCTCGGGCGTAGATCGCCGCTTGGCGCTGCCTGACAGGAGTCGATCCTAAAGCGATTGCCCACATCAATGAAACTGACTGTTGCCACGGCACCGAACGAGCCTTGAAAACCAAGGGCAGCACAACAACAAGTACACCCCGGCAAGGATGTAAACAAGAGCCACTTGCTGAAATGATTACTGAAATGGAGCATATATTTGGTCGGATCTCCATTTGCTGGGATAAGGGCTCTTGCATCTGCAAAAAGCTTGCGTATTGAGTTTACTCAGGTGGCCCTCAACTGGAGACTTAGGATGCACAGCGAATGAAGAACGGCAGAGTGTTTGACAGAGAATATATAGTGGAATGCTACTTGCAAAACGGCAGGGCCCGAAGAGGCAAACATGCGCAGGACAACTAAGCCTCAAATGTTGTTTTATCCTGGGCAACTTCATGACAAGAAGACTGGACAACGCGGGTGTCTTTGTTTTTCCCCAACAGCAAAGCTTAGGGGTCTTCACCCATAGTAAAGACTTTGGAGCAGATCAGGTTCTGGAGCAGGTTCCGAGTGGAGCAAGTTCCGGAGCAGGTTGCCGGAGCAAGTTCCGGAGCAGGTTCCTGAGCAGGTTCCGGAGCAAGTTCAGGTTTTGGAGCAGGCTCTGGAGAACGTTTTCGAGCAGGTTCCGAGCAGGTTTTGGAGAGTCCTTGCAAGTTCCGAAAGGTCGTGACATCTCACAAGCTCCAGAACGGCTTGCAGATATGATGAGATGCTGCTGTGCTAATGTTGTCACGGCCTAGCGCTGACACATCACGCTGCTGACCTGTTGTCGCGCTGACATGTTGACATGCCGTCAGGGTCGTGTGCGGTTTGCGCTAACTGGCTAATGTGTTGGTCTTCTGACGCGCTAAGGTGTTGCCACGCCGATATGCTGACATGGTGTCATGTTGGTGTGGTGTGTGTACGTGTCCACACCTGTACCTAAGGTTTTGAGTCACAAAGGACGCTGCTAGGGGCCCCTGGTTTCGCTACCGCTACTAGCATGCAGTTTTTTCAGCGCGAAAAAAGAGGCAGGGGGTAGCGGCAGATCATTTGGGACCGCTACCAACGAAGACGCCCATTTGATCTGGTGATATCAGAGTTGGCCACTCTGACGTACCTGCTACATATGTTTGAACGGTTTTCAAGCTGTCCAATGCGGTGTTGTGCATTAAAGGTCTAATGAGCTGAAGAAAACTTGTTACAACACCTTCAAATGAACGGACTTTTCACCTTGCGGTTTGTGCTTCTTTCTGTTCATCAAGTCAAGGGGGACTTCGTACTGATACTAGCTCTTGCGAGCAACAATCTAAGTGTGTTTTCGCCACAGGGTCCTACTGAGGGCTGTGGTGTGATCCCCGTCAAGGGGCGCCGCATGTGCACAGACCTAGATCCTGGGGGACCCACTCTGAATGCTTCGTTCTGCAGCCCTGAACTTCTCTTGATTCCCCTTGATCCGCGGTGTTGCACGATACCCCTGATTCTATGCCGCAGGGCTTACTGAGATCAACTCCAGTTTGAACTCTCACTCATGTACATGTCACATTCACTCAGCTATGTCAGGGCACATGGTTACACAGTTACACGTGCTTGTCATGCTCTTGAATTCTTTTTCTCTTTCTGTTGCTTTTCGTTTTTTGAGGCCTTTCTTTCTTTAGGTTTCAGGGGCCTTTCAGACACGGGTTGCGCCGGCCCAAAACGGCTTTACTTGAATGCCAATGATGGCAATGCCTTCGGGCCGCCCTAACCCACCCTCCCCCGTACCTCCCTGTCCTTGGGTCTCCGTTGCTATCCCACCCGCTATTCGGGCAACAGAAGGAAATCGCACTCAACACACTTGTGTGTTGGTGCCTTTCCTTCTGTTTCTCCTATCCTATTGCTAGCTACCCGGGCGGTTTAAGACAAAAGTCCCGCTCGCGAACTATTTTCATTTAACTAAGTGGCCCTCTTAGTCTGCTTTTGTTTTGTTTGCTTTGTCTGTCTTTCTAAGGCTTGTTAGGTGGCTAGTAATTTTCAGAAGCGCCAATATTGGCGCTATGTGTGCAAAGCTATGCGTCGCAAATGACGCTACTAGGGGCTTCTGGCCTCGCTACCAGGAGCCAGGACGGTACTACTAGGGGCCTCTGACCGTTCTAGGGGGTGTAAGGACGCTACTAGGGGCTCCTGGCCACGCTACTAGTCTGCAAGCGGCGGACAGCGCGCCGAGTACGGCTTCGTGTGTGTGTCCACACCTGTACCTAAGGTTTTGAGTCACAAAGGACGCTACTAGGGGCCCCTGGTTTCGCTACTAAGGGCTCCTGGTATCGCTACTAGCACGCAGTTTTTTCAGCGCGAAAAAAGAGGCAGGGGGTAGCGGCAGATCATTTGGGACCGCTACCAACGAAGACGCCCATTTGATCTGGTGATATCAGAGTTGGCCACTCTGACGTACCTGCTACATATGTTTGAACGGTTTTCAAGCTGTCCAATGCGGTGTTGTGCATTAAAGGTCTAATGAGCTGAAGAAAACTTGTTACAACACCTTCAAAAGAACGGACTTTTCACCTTGCGGTTTGTGCTTCTTTCTGTTCATCAAGTCAAGGGGGACTTCGTACTGATACTAGCTCTTGCGAGCAACAATCTAAGTGTGCGCGCATAACTATAAAAAGTAAAATTATATATATATATATATCACGAAAGCCAGCCGATAGGCTAGGCTGAAGCTGGGTTGGGCGAAAGAAGTGAGTAATGGGGGTGTCGGGGGGCGGTTGCGCACGGTAACCCAGAGCCTGGTGGGGGAGAGCGAAGAAAAGAGGTGGCCAGGAGGCAGTGAAAATGAGTGGTTTTTGGGGTGTTGTGATGCAAGTGATGTAATTGACGGCGGGTAGTGCATCATTATTAGCGCCATGACGCGAAAAGTGGTTGGAACCCCTCCAGGAAAGGGAGATGTGCGTATCTGCTGGCCATTGAAATAGTGTTCGTAGGCGTGAAGGGGAGGTGTGTCTCTTAAGATTGTGTGATCTGTGAGGGCAGAAGAGGGAACAGAATGCTGTGGGGAAGGCGGATGACAGGCATAGTGCAGGAAGGCGGGTAGGAAAAGAGGGTTTGCAAGAAATCTTGGAGTTGCTTGGGAATGCCCTTTTCTGAAGATGCCTGTCAAACATACGCAAAAGGGCACACCATATGGGGTGCGAGTTCATGTACTGTAATGATGCGAAAAACAGGAGAGGGAACAGAATGCAGCTGGCAAGCTTTGATTTGCTTGGGGGTGCCCTTTTCAACGGTGAAGAGGCCTAATAGCCAGACTCAAAAGGGGACCCCATACGGGGTGGGAGTTCATGTGGATGAGACAGGCATAGCGGAGGAGGACGTGATAGGGAAAGAGGGATTGCAAGCAACGAGTGGCCCATTGAGAACAGGGAGGGAACAGAGTGCAGCAGGCAAGCTTTGAGTTGCTTGGGGGTGTGATTGAAGAGGCCTGTTGACCAGACGCAAAAGGGCACCCCATATGGAGTGGGAGTTCATGTGCAGGATGGTGGCAGGCAAAGCGGGGGAGGATGTGATAGGAAAAGAGGTGGGGAGCTCACCAGGGATCTCGCACTCACCCCCCATGACCATATTGATATCTCGTCCCCTCCCTTCTCAGGTAAGTAAAAAAGGAATGTATGTATAGCATATATTAAAAAAATATATATAATATAAATATATACATGAGAGAATGCCTGCGCACAGAGGTGTAGAAAGTCTGACCCGATTCATACTGGTACGCTCATATGCTGGCATCAGGAGGACAAATTGTCAGGATGTCACGCCGACGTATTGTCATACTGACTGACGGCTTGAAAGCCGGGACTGGAAGAGGCTTCTTGCTCTTTGCTTGTTGCGGTGTTGTCACGCTTGCACACGTATGGGCACATGTGCTACACGGACGCAATTGATGTGTTCGCATGGCACATGGCACATGGAAAAGGCTCAAACCTTTGAAAGAAGCAAGCACGCACCACTTCTTGATGACCTTGCATACAACGGGGAGACTTTTGTTGCTTATCAACTGTTTGTTACTTTTAACACATTCGGGTCGTGCCGTGATGGGGCCCTGGCCCAGATTTGATGGCGGCTTAAAATTGGGTTGTGTTTTGAACATATGACATACATTTTGGTATCTATACACATTGTTTGGGCAAAATTCTCTGGATACCGTACCAGTCATGTTCTTTGGTTCAGATTGATCTCTGAGACAATCATATTTTTTCGTTCATGGGTAACAAACAAACCAAACATCATCCAGTTTTTCTATTTGCAGTCAACCTTCCTTTGGAAACATGTAGGGAGGCGTGAACATGCGTGGCCTCCAAGTAGCAGCAGAATAGTTTTTCCTTATTCTGCCACGCTTTTTCATTAATTTTTGATCTACCATCACCAAGCAGGCTTTGGCAGCACCGAGCACCAGGAAAAGGTGGAGAGGCACTGGGAAAGCCGGAAGCAAAGGTTGTGAGTTGTGAACCAAGAATGATTGTGGTAGAGCTGGACCTTTGACGTGATGGCGGCAGTATCCTAGCTACAAGGGAAACACCTTGTTTGGCGACCAGAATTCTGCGTGTCTACTCTACCTGTGCTAGGCAACTGTGTACTTGGAGTTCTTCTTTGATGGCTCGCCCGAGGAGATCCAAGATCAGGAGGAGGCTGATAGAGAACAGACAATGCTCACTAGGATATTACAGATCGTTTGGAAACCTGTATACAGTCACAACTCTTTGAGATATACCGATTCTTGGAGTTCAGGCTCAAGGCAAAAGCAGCCAAAGGTGACTATATGTCAATATACATCACTGGCCATGGCTACTACACAGTAGCTCATCGCCACTAGCAGGTGATAACGATGTTCAAACATCTACAAAATCAAAAGATACTTTTGCACATACCGCCTGTCCTAGCGCTTTGTCATGGAGCCACAATTGCAAATGTATGCAGTTGCAGTTTTCTATTTTTCTTGAACCAGGGATTTATTCTCTCGTTCATTTGTTGTCTTCACATTTTCTGGTACTGAGGAACAGCCAAGGACCGTGGAGCAAATCATTTCAAGGAAGTATTGGTAATAGAAATAAATCTATTGTATCATGTTATAACATGCATGGTGGCTTTTTGGTGGTTTCTATACCAAACCAGTTTTTTTTTTTGGTGATTTCTTCTGTTTTGTCTGTTTCACTGTGTGTCACTTGCCCCTTGTCCTCCGCAGTCTGGGGCCTGGAATCCAACCATATGGCAAATCGTGCCTTGTCGTTCAGTCTCAAGAGCCTCTGCACATGTTGTTTCCAATTCTAATGTATATAAATATACAATGCACTTTGATACACCAGGCCATTGAAGCGCAAGTTGACAGAGATTCCGGACACGGAATGTCCGGTCACATTGCGTGTGCAGTTTCTCCTCATTGGCGAGGTGCAGCATAGACCGCTCAGTTTGCCAATGACTCACGCAACTCACTGGTAACAAAACCGTTTGCCATTCATTCCTTTTCCACTCTCTCTCTCTCTCTATAGACTTCAACTGACATTCCAGGCTTCTCGAGATTTTGCATCGATGGTTGCATCTCGGCTGCATGCCTACGCTCCCAGGATGGGACACTCAAACTTGGGTCACACATGTTTGGCCTGACGTTTGCAGTCTAGAGTCTAGAGTTTACGGTAAGTTCTTCAAGTGGCTTTGCTTGCTGATCCTCTTTGTTGTGGTATGTTGTGTGTTGGTTTTGGCATGCTCAAAGCAGGTGAATTCTGAAATGGCTGAGAATTATCATGGGCAAAGGAGGATGAGTATGGCAAGCCTTCCCGATCAGCACTCTTCTGCTGGTTCAGAGCTCCAGGACAGACCAAACTGGCAGTTCTTCCAACATCGAATCAAAGCGCATGTGCCCTATTTGGATGTCAACTTTGAGCAACGCCTGTCCTTAAGGATGCAAACAGATATTTGCTTTTTTGCCCGCGCATCGACAGAGACGAAGGGTCCTGTGGCTGCAATGAGGATTGCTGAAACCACAGTCTTGGTGCCCCAGCAATTGTATCAACATAGTAACTATTTTGACACACCTCCACCGCTACCCATCCTAGAGCAACCGGCACTTTTTGTTTCTTCCCAGGTTTAAGAGCTTCGGTGTGGTGTTTGACCGGCCGCCAATAGGCCAAGATATCACTCTTTGATCGTAGTCTCATAGTGCAAACCTTCCTTCTGCTCTTCACAATCCAAACTTGAACAACTTCCTTGGACCAGCCCACCTTTGCATTCGCTCGCTTGCGCACCAACTCGCCGCCAGCTTCGAACAATTCAAGGTGCTAAATGTCCGAGTGAGTCGTCCGACTGTTCTTTTGGGGGACACTGCTTCATGCCATCAGGACAAAAACAGTCATCATCCTTCTGCCATCCACCGTAGTGTTTGGGTAGCCACGCAACCCCTAGGTCTTCTAGGGCCCTTTTTGTCACATCGACACTTCCTCACTTCCCCGCTTTGTTCTGCAATTGCTCGCATCAGTGTGTGCCGCTGCAGCTTGTTTTCTCTCCGAGCTACCACCTTTGCATTGCAAGCCATTCCTTCACAGAGAGGACAGGCGGCCACCAGTCGGCCTCACTAGCCATGAACGCAAAAAACGTGTCTCAAGTAGCCTTAGGGCATGGAGAACTTAACGCAGTAATGAATGGAGGGATTTATTTTTCTTCAATGGGAGTCACGAACGGCGTGCATCATGCCCATAAACCATTTTCCTCTAGATTTATGTCAGTCTGTGGGGTTCTAGTCGAGTCGGCCTCCCCGCCTTCTCCCCATCCAACGATGTTTCTCCAAGTCCGCCCCTAGCTTACTACCTGTCGTGTTCTGAGTGAATACAACACACACACAGACAACACCATACATACAAATGTATCAAAAGTACAAATAAATATACATACACAGAGTTTTGCACAGCTCCCAAGAGAGCAAGACAACTGACGTTGAATGCAGCACCTTTGCTGCCCCGCCTTGTGCACATGAATGTACAATGTCACTTGAAAGTGCCAAAACTGAGCTCTGGCTGTGCGCGTGAGGGGCATTAACCATTTTTTGGGTCAATTGTGAATTGACTAAGCAACATTTCAATGTTGTTCTGATTTCTTGCGGAGTATTTGGACCATCCCTCATGTACAGTGGAGTGCTTTGTTCAGAAGAACCGGGTTCATGCAAAACAGCCCGCATTCTCCAGCTCGCAAAACCTGAATGCTACTTCACCAGCGGACACCATGCGCACACTATGCATGTTCGCATATTCATTTAACGCGGCGGATGGCGGATCTCTGCAAGAGCTTGAGAAAGACGAAGAATATGCACTGTGCCATACAGGATTTGCATAGATGCCGTGTGGAACCGCAAAAAGCCACGTTGCCATGTGAGTGTCGCACCTTTGCTCGGACATTGGTACATCCCTGCCTCCTTAATTAAGTAGGCGCCCGAGCTTCTAGTAGCTGGACGCAGGATAGCGCTCACACTGATGATTTGGTTCCTAGTATTTTAGGGACATTTACATAGCTTGTTAAACCTTTTGTCTCAAGCCAAAGTGACGCACATGTGACCGAGTGTGAGTGCCAGTGCCGGAGCAAAAGTGCACAACAGGGTGCACGTGTATTTGCGAAACAGGGCGACTGAGAGCGTGTTATGGGCGAGCCTCAGTAAATTAAGGAACCGTAGGAACAGCAACGTGCACCTGAAACTATATACTGTACATACACACACACATATATATATATATATAAGAGTATACACAGCATACAACCACCCTAGAAGTCCAAAGGCTACACAGTACTTTTCCTATTAAGTGAAGTAAAGAAAGCTCTCTTTCTTGTCTCTTAGAGACTATTCTTTGAATTTGACTTCCAGGGTACAAGTAACGACCTTGACCTAGCTCGAAGAAACGTGTTTGGCAACCTGAGGACAGAGCTAGCACGCATTGAGCTCACACCAGTTGCTTGCCCAAAAGAAGCCATGCGTTGTGCGCTTGAGCTTACTATCCCACATTCTACGTGAAGATCTTGGAAGCCTGCAAGGTGGTAGGCTTTGGAGACTCTTTGCCTTTGTCCCGCCAGCACCGAACGCAGCATCATGGTGAGTTGCAGTCGCACAAGCATGCAAATTGCACCAACAGGACTTCATTGAGTAAAGTATATTGCATACAATCATGCGCTCGCTTTGCCGCTCAAGGCAGAACGAGAACATTCACCTTATTTTCCTTCTTTACCAGGATAGTGGACCTCGAAGGAACATGTCTGATACCTGGCCGCAATGAGACCTCATGAGCCATGACGCCCAAAGACACTGGGGCTGTTTGGGCCTTTCCAACTAGTCCAACATGCCAACAGATTCAGAAAACAGAGCCAGATTGATATTTCTTGAATCAAGACTAGGCTATGTGCTGCATGTCCATACAGGAGGTTGAGATCACAGGTACGATAAGGAATCCATAAATGGAAGCTGCTTGTTTACACCTGTGGGGTGCACTTTGTGGCGAGTTGGGAATCATATCGAACTCAGGACCTCTCCACTGAGTGGATCAGGAGGCAACGGCCTTACCTCAGATTGTTCTGTTTCGCCCTACGGGCCCTACGAGTGATGCAGGCTAGCAGAAGTTCGTCAGTGCCTGAGAGCAGTTCCACGTGGAAGCTTGGCTTAGCAGACCAAAGCCAAGGATTTTTGCCAAAGATTGCACGTCCTGCTTTGACGCTGCTGATGGTGAGTGCAGATGATGAACAGATGCATCTCAGTTGCAAACAAGAACATGTTGTTTTTGCAAGAAGACGCACCGGGTGTTGTAGTAACAGTGTCAGGCTCGATTCATTTTTGTCTTACCAAGGAGATTTGCAGAGGAAATCATGGTGCCTTGAGCTTGCTTTGACAATACATTCGTGTAGGAAAGCTCGGCTCTGCTTATTAGCCTACCCAACAAATGCCCCACGCTGGGGTGTTCAGGGTGAATCTTGAAAGAGCCTTGGCCTAGGAAAAGCAAAAGGACATGGATGATCCTTTGACAGTTTCGACAAAGTTGGTCGAAACTCCGAGCGAGGAGAATCGGACAATATACAGAAGACATCTCTCATTCAGGGTAAGAGAACTCAGGCAACAAGATTTTTCAGTGTTAGCAACTTGAGCTTTGTGGAATTGTTCATTTGCTTCATGAAAAAGCACCCGCCATGGATTTGCCCTGTGATTTCGCTGCAATGCCGTTTTGGGCGCGTCAACCCATTCCAAAGAGTAAAGATGCTGAAAGCACATTGTGGCTATCTGGTGGGCGCAGGATGATTTGATCAGCTCTCTTCAATTGGTATGCAAGGACTGTGGTAAGATTGCTTTTGACAAGCATTGAACATCAATGGAACATTTGAAATGAATGTCCAATCACTGGGATGGCAGGACACCGTGCTGTGGAAACCACATGCCCGTTACACAATGCAGGTGGAGGTGCAGTTCCTATATTGAGCTAGAATCAGACAACTCAGGACAACTTGATTATAAGAAGCATAAGACCTTTACTTACCTCCAAGACAGACTTTGCCAGGCAAAGGGCGGCTGTTGCATCCTCATGTATTTTGAGCACAATTTAGTTCTTTTTTGTATTCCCTGCCGAATCCTTCCAGAATGGGCTTTTTGCACTGTTTGCCAAATTCGTTTGCCAAATTCGGCTCGGGGTTGTTGCAGAAGCAAATTTAGTTGGTCATGGCAATTGACACGGAATCAGAGAGACGCAGATATATATATATATATATAGAGAGCGCACGTGACCTGGCGCTAAGGTGAATGAAGTGCGTTGAAGGGGACTATGTCTACGTTGAACCAGCCCCGCCTAACTTTGTCAATTCAATGTAGCAAAGCTGCACTTGTTTCCGAGGATTTCTGCTGCGAGAATTTGCTAGTCGCCCAAACTCGCGGACCAATTCTCTCAGGAGAATAAGATCAGCTAGAAGTTGCTCAAACAAGTTCAGCATTGGCATTTGCAAGTCTGCCAAGAAGCGTGCGCGGCATGTCTGCCACATGATGAGGCAAACGGAAACCCAGAAGGTCAAAAGAGAGTTAAAAGTGTTGAGCCCTTTATCAATCTGGTTTCTGACCTTGTCATTGCTTTCTGGCTTGAAAGACGTGGAGACAAGAGTTCTGGCGATGAGACTTTGTCACTTTTCCTTTGAATGGCTGCTTACCCTGCCACAGATTTATTCTTAGCCAGTATCTTAAACTTCTTAACATGATCGCTGGGGACATGAAAAAGAGAGACAGCTTTTGCCTCCCTCGCAGAACGCTAGAGCCTTCAAAAAGTGAAGACTTTCACGTGCTTTCACTATGGTTCGACTTGATTCCTGCCACAAACTTCTCCAAGAGAAGCCAAGTGGCTCAACTTGAGTCGTGTTCGGAGAAAATTGGGGGATGCTCTGGCTTGCAACAAGAGCGATGCTGCTCAGCGCCACTTCAATTTTTCCAGTGTCACTTCAACAGTAAGGTGCCCTTAGACTCTTGGACTTTTCAATCCTTGAAGGTCTTCAAGCAAGCCTTCGAACACATGATTGAAGAGCAGTTGCAGGCAGGGCTTACGGACCTGGCAATGTTGTTTCCTTTCAGCATGTTACTATGCATTCCGTCCAGAGGAGCAGCGCGTGACGCAATTTCGTCAAAAGTTGGCAGCTCGCCGTCGAAGAGGGCAGGCAACCTTCGCGATTGTTTGCAGGAATTGAAAGATTTGAAGCTTAAGTTTAGGAGTACCCATGCATCGGCAGACTCGCAGAATGCTAAAACAGCAGGAGAATAACGGTGAGTAGTTAAGTTTCCCTAAAAATCTAGGAACCAAATGAATAGTGCGATTGCTTCTTCAAGGAAGCTTCCCCACCCTCAGGCGGGGGGAGCTTCCTTGAAGAAGCGTGAGCTATCCTGCGTCCATGCTAGTAGCTACTTAAGCTACTAGCTACCTAGCTTCTACTAGCTACCTACCTAGCTAACCTACCTCTACACGGCCTACCCCCTCCGGTCTTAAAGAAAAAAAGGAACGAAGAGTTTCTTAACCACATACCATTCCAAGTTTCAGAAGCCAGGGCAGCACAGAAGCTGGTGACGAAGAGTGGATCTGGCCTTGGAATCACGAGCGTGTTGAGGAGGTTGGACGCGAGTAATGCCCAGAAAATACTTTTCGTTTGACATTTGGTTGCTGTCATAGCCCTTTGTGAAACGATTTGCCTTGTGCCCTGGACATCCACACATGTCACCATTCCATGACCGTACCGGCCCAAACTTAGTGGCCACTTGAGTCTGCCTTGGAAAAGGCCTTCGTTGCCGTGCGCCATAGGCACTGCGTTTCCGCTGTTCATCAGTGGTAGCGGAGCCCGGGTGACGACCTGGGCTCTGCTGGAGCGGTGGAGAAGATCGTGACGGGGGACGCCCCGGCCACCCTTCTTCGACTTCATTATCCTCGCTCTTGAGGAGATCTTCGGCACCCTCCAGCAGGGACTTCTTGCAAGCCACTGACGTGGCGAAGTTGGACGGCCATCCTGGCCGGATTTTCCAGTGGGCTCGAATCGAGCTTTTGTTTACGACTTTGCTAGCCGGCGCCGGGACTTCGTTCGAACTATTTGATTGAGGGCCCAGGCGACATCTTTGCCATCAGCCTGACCTTTGTGAAGTACCAGTTCACTGGGAAGTATGTCAGCTGACAGGCCGCACCGCTTCTGGAGAGGCGGAGTTGGAGCAACTTCATCATCGACCCCTTCGATGGCGGCCCGCCGAAATCCCCGATGGCAAGTCCGCCGCGACCACCGAGGTCCCCTATGGCGAGTCCGCCACGACCTGAAGTCCATCGACTTTCTCAGGTACCTGACCCCGTCGATTCGGGACTTTATGAAGAACCTGATCCTTGGGCTGCAGCTGCCACGGCCATCCGGCCTCCGACACCGGCCGGAAGCCAATCAGGTGCTCGCGAGAAAAAGTATGTGGACTACAAGGTGGACCCCGCTCCATCTTGGGGCGGTGACATGCCAGAGAAGAACTATAAAGAGTACATCCGGAACCTTCAACTCTGGCTGGTTGAGGCAGAGGCTCGACTGCCTCACAACTTGATTGGAAAGCGGATCATCGACAGCATTCCGCTTGGCTCGAAGCTCAGCTCCCTTCTGGCCCATTTGACTGTCGACGACATCTGCTCGGAGAATGGCCATAAGGTCATACTTGGCATCATCGAGGACGCCCATGAGTATTTGAAGGATTTGCGCCTCGAGACTGCCTTCGATGACGCGATCTTCAAGGGAAGACGTGAGCGAGGCCAAACGCTCACAAGCTTCTTGACCACCAAGAAGGCGGCCTTCGCGGATTTGAAGAAGCAAGGACTGGACCTGTTGGCTACCAGTCCGGGGCGGCATTTGTTGGGTCACCTCATTTTGAGGCAAGGCTCATTCACCCAAGATCAACGCCAGAGGTTGAAAGTGGTCACCGACGGCAGCATCGATTACAAGGACATTGAAATGGCCATCCAGAAGGTCTTCGGTGACAAGCTGGACGAGAGCCATGGACACCATGAAGCTGTCGGTACTCCCCGGAGGTGGCGCAGTGCTACCTACTCCCAAACAGGAAAGTCGTTGCGAATTCATGATTTTGAGCCTGTACCATTGTGATTTGTTATTTTCAAAAGTCGTTGCGAACTCTGTGCTGCTTGTGTTTCGAGTTTAAAGGAAACCATAGCAATGATATTGAATTATATAATGACCTGATGCAGCACTTTGGTGTCTAATGTCTCTGTGCCTTTCGGAATTGAACACCGTGCTGTACATTGGGTTTACCCCCATCATGAGGCCTATCATGTGGAAGATCTGACCAAAAACCGGTGTGCCATTGGTGAAAGCTATGCATCAAGATGCTTCTATAGGCAACCCATGCTCTTCTGTTACATGGGGAAAGTCACTTGCGATTGTGGGTCCACTGTTTTCAAAAGGTGGTTGCTCCATTGGGGCTGGAACCATGGTTTTGTTTGGATTGACATATGCAGTGCTTGGCCTTTTCTTTGGCCCAAGATTTGTGGCCACAGCTCCGTTGATTGCTTCACAATGGAGACGCCGCAGAGGAAGAGAACACGGGAAGCATCACCAGAGTCAGTGGCCTGAAGGTTTCCAGGGCTTTCTCGGCATCGCGTGTCAACTTGTCCCATCTAACGATTGTCAGAGGAAGCTCTGCCCTTTAATGGGGTTATTGCTTGGGTCTCTTCCATTACCAGAGGCAGCTGGTGAAAGATGATCTCTATGTGTTGCATGACCAGGCACTATAGTTCTAATATATATATATATTATATATATATATATTTTGTTGTATTTATTTATGTATCGTTCTTAGTGGTCATAAGAAGTTTTTTGTGGCAAGCCCTGATCACACCCACCATGGTATCGGGAGTCGAGACTCGACACTGTACTCGTAGTTCGTTTCTTCCTTGTGTCTTCTTTGTTTGCTTTTGTTGGTGTACCTGTCATGTTGTTGGTGCTGACGCTGCTTCTTTGCGAGTTCGCTTTCACTGGGTTCTGTTTTTGTTCGTGTTTTTCGCTTCACTTCTTCCCTCAAGCTACACGCCTCCAGGAGCTTCAAGCTGTACGACAACAGCCCGTAGAACCTCCAGATGCTTGGCCCGGTGTGCTGGTGTTGTGGCTGGTGCTGTTGTTGCTGTTGTTGTTCCTTTGCTTTCGCTCGCCGTTTTTAGGAGAGGGGGCTAGTGACTAGTGTCATGAGACAAAGACACCCTGAGAACATCCATGGAAGGAGCCTAAGGTTTTTTCCAACACGCTGTCCAGAAATTAGGGGCACTGTTCAATAGAAACTTGATATGTACAGGAAGCAGTCAACTTTCCCCAATCTACGGCCAAAAGCCTTGATAGGCGCAATCAATTTTTGTCACCAGCAGTGAGCGATTCCCCCCAGGAAATTTCATTGGCCAAGCTGGCGAAGCGTTTGCGGGAGCAGCATGCTCAAGCCTTCTCGCAACTTTCGCGCTTGCAGTTGAAGGAGCAGGCGATTGACCCAGCGACACGATCCTATGATCCAGGAGTTCCTGACGCCATTGGTTCCTGCTTGATTTGTGGCGCAAAGCGCCATGAGGTGAGATGGGAATACTTTCGCACCCCTGGCGCGGACAAGCGCTTGACTAGGGGTGGAACATGTTTTTGCTGTGTGCAGTCGCGCCGGCTTCTGCAATGCAGCCGGTCTCCTTGCTTGGTTCGTGAGTCTGGAGCGCTTGAAGCTGTGCTGTCTCTGTCTGCGCTGAAGCGTCAGAGGCTTGCAGCAGAGGATGTTTGTGAGTGTGACCTTTGTTTGAGTCAGGCTCAGTAGGGTTTAGCTTGGGATAGCCTGGGCTATATATTTGTAGATTCTGCGCAGAATCTAGGGGAACCAGAAAAACCTGAAGGCTTTACCTTTAGACGCTTGATGCGCTTGGAAAATTGTTTTTTCTCAGCAATCCAAGCAGCAAGCGTATGGGTTTCACTTGTTGTAGCCTGGCAGGCATGAGCTGGCTGTTCCTTGTTGAGTACACATGTGCGACATGTTTGTCTAGGAAGTCGGAACTTTGCGAGCAAGTTTCGTGAATTGTTCCAAAGAAGACTTGAGGGATTGCAGTTGCTTCTCGTTCCGACTGCAGCCTGATGGCTCCCCAAAAGTACAGTGAAGCTGTAATCGCCCGTTTTTCTCACTCCCGGTTGCTTGAGGCGTGCGAGGAATGGGGTCTTTCCTATGATACCAGCCTGCTGGTTTCAGAGAACCGCGCTCGCCTGGCACGTCGAATTGTAGACGGTGACGTCGTTTGTAAGAAGCAGGATCTCTCGGAAGTTTCAGGACGTTCAGGGTTGACCGAGGCTTTTGGTTAGCACATGTGGGGAGATGTCTGCATGGCATGTTTAGGTGTAGGGTTCCTACCTCGTCCGCTACCTCGTCCGCTACATCGTCCGAAAACCCAGTGACTTCTCTCAAAGTTTACTGTTTTGTGGGTTGCTTGAGGAGCATGCGCAGCCAGCGAGGCTGATGCTTCTGCACCTTTGCCACCGCCTTCCACTCCTCCACCAGACTCGTTTCTCTGTAGCGGGTGCAACTTGGATATCCCCAACAGTGACCGCAGTTGCTTACCTAAATACTGCAAGCAATGCTTTGAACACGAGCTTGCTGAGCTGTTGAAGCCCCAGTCGAGCTCCAATGCAGAGGGTGTAGCAGATGGGAACGCAAACTCTGGGTCTGGAAGTGGGGCAATTTTACAATCTCTGGCCGCTGTGGCCGAGGACTTTTCTGTAGATGCACGGAATGTTGTGTGTGTGCAGTGCTCGCGCCCAGTGACGTCAGAGAACAAATCTCCACTTCCTGAATGCTGCTTTGAATGTTGGCAAAAGCAAGAGAAATTGGAGGAGGAGATTCTTGACGCCAAGCCTGGCGTCGATGAGAAAAGTGAGAGGACAGAGCTTCAGACCCCCCCCAAAAAAACAAAGCTTGAGGAAGCAGCCGCCAAGTTATTCCCACAATGGCAACCGAGAGCAGCAGTTCCGCATGCAGATTTTTTGGAAGCCTTGACTGAGAAGTCAAAAGCAGTGAGCTGGTGCACTGTTTTTCAGAAAGCTGCAAGAATCTTGTGTGGGCCGCCAAAAGCAGATGCTCTATCTCATTGGCTGGAGCAGTCGGACTTGGAGAAGAAAAGGTGGGGAGAATCCTTTTCAGCTGTGAGATATGCCTTGCTTGATGTCTCAACACCGGCTGCGGACAGCAAGGCAGGGATTGCAGAGGAAGGCAAGAATGATGATATTTTGCATGTTCCTACCTCGTATGACCTCAAGCTGCTATTGAAAGATCACGGCAAGCAAAAGACACACGCAAGCATTGCAACTTCTTTGTGTTGTTTGGTCCGTTTTTGCTTTTTCAAAACCACAAACCCACAAGGCCCAAAGAGAGTTCAAGAAACGGATTTTCTATCCATTTCCATGCGTCCTAGGTTGCCAACGACCAGAGAAGGTGGGAGATGTACGGCGCACTGGCTACCATGATACACCGCGGGGACGATGGCTGTGGAAGTGCGTATGCAGTTTCCATCCGTGCAGATCTCCAACCTCTCAAGATCAACAGGAACAAGTTGGGATCGATACTCAAATTGCTGCAGACCGAAGGCACTTTGCCCAGACAAGTCCCCTTGAATTTTCGTACAGGAAGAAGCCAGGGGCACAGCTTGTCGGATGCGGAGAAGCGTGTCTTCCTGCAGTTCATCCAGTGGCATGCAACTCATGGCAACGCCTTGTCTGTTGAAACTTGCAGACGGGCGCTGTGCTTCATGGCAATGGAAAAGAGTGGTGTTCTGGATGATGCGCTAGGTGATCCTGCTTCCTTAGAGGCCCGATTGGATGCATCGATACTAGGACTTGTTTAGCGCGCGGTTCACTTCATTTGTTCATTTTAAGTTTATTTTGTCCCCAGCTTTAGAGTTGTAGAGCCACTGCTTCAGCGACCTCCGACTAGGATGGACGACTTTGATGTTCCAAGCCGTTGGGAGACCTTTCGACAGTGGGTCAAGGCGACGCAGCCGAAAAGTGAGTGGCTGACAGTTGCGAAACTCAAAGCCCGCTCACCGGTAGAAGCAACAGCTTGCAATGCAGAGACGATCACGAAGACTTACAACGAGTGGGAAGCACTCCTGAGAGAGTTGGGAATTTCCGATTCGGACGGTAGAATCAAAGCTGACCAAGCCCATAGAGTGATTGTGGTGGACGAGAAAGGCTTTTCGCAGAGGGCTGACAATCTCTCGAAAGGAGTCATTAGCAACAGCTTGAAGAACAAAGCCTCCACAATGACTTCGACAGCCACTTGGGAACACATTACTTGCACTTCCTGGCTTCCCTTGGCCCCGCTTCCTTCAAAGGTGGTCCTACCGTGTGGAATTGTGGTGCCAACAAAAGGCACAAACGATACCATGAAACAAATTTGGCCAGAAGCTTGCATTGAGGGCAACAGTGGAGGATCCAGCACTAGCTCTATTTTTTGTCTTTTCCTTCTCAAGTGCCTCATTGAGCCCATGAGAAAAGTTGAAGAGAAAGAAATCCTGCTCATCATGGACTCAGGCGGGGGTGCATATATGCACCTCTCGTGGCAATTCCTGTCCCTGTGCGAGACGCATCGCATACGGCCGTACATGCTGAGAGGTTATTTGACCCGGGCTTTGTGCGCTCTTGACCAAGAGCCACATGCTTGCATGGCTCGGCTTTGGTCCGCCTTCAAAGGCAAGTGGAAGAACAACTTGAATATGTACCAGGCCCTTCAAGCAATCAGAGAGATCACCCAAGAGTCTCTGACAGAGCAAAGGGCTGCTGCTGGGTGGGCAAGGGTGGGTCTGAAAGCTGGAAGGTCTATAGACAGAGATGTCGTTTTGGTTGAACGATACAGCGAGGTGATCCAAAGCTACAAATACGCCGAGAAGCCGCAGACGCCCCTGATGCAAGTCATTGAGAAGTGCTCACCGAGCAAGTCCCGCTGTAAGGCGTGCCAGGTCTGGGTCTTGGCAACAAGCAAGTATTGTCAAAACTGTTCCATTCCCAATGAAAATTTCGAGAAGGGTACCTATGAGGTGCACCGTGATGGCAAAAGGTCAGGGTGGAAGAGTGCTTCAGAGGTGGAGGTACCCGGGGGCGATACAAGTTTCAGCCGTGAAGCAGTGACAGATTTGTTGGCAGAACTGCGCTCTAGGACCAAAAAACAAAAGACCTCTGATTCAGCAGCGCTTCCGCCTTCCAAAGAACCTGAAAGCGGCGCAGCTGCTGCCAGTGGGAAGGAACCGTCGGCTGAGGTCAATGAAAGTGACCAGGAATGGGATTTGAACACATGCGATGGCTGTGTGCACTATTTGGCTTCTCTTTTTTCCAAGGAGAGGCGAGAGCGTGTGCGGCCAGTAGCAGATTTCTTTGTGCGAGAGCATTTACAGCCCCAAGTCAGGAAGTCAATGCCGCTCTACAAGATAATGTCTGCAGAGCTCAAGAAAGTTGGTGGCCTCAAGAATACCCAAGCTCGCACGAAGTGGTTGGAAGCTTGGGAAGAGAACCGGAAGTGCAGGTTCGTGAGACCCAGCAAGGTGCGAAGAGCAAAGTGAGAAAACAATCTTTGCTCGCTGTCGCTGAATGGTTTGGTGGGCCATGTCCTGAACTCACCACATCTGTGCCAAGCAGTTCGACCCAAAGATCAATTTAGGATCAGAAAGGTTAGTTGCTTTCCCATCGGTGGGTACCATGTCCAGGTTACCATGAAACCTTTGTGCCATGCTGGTTCTTAGGATGAAAGACATTGACAGGTAGTAGGCCCTGCCATGCAAACCACAGTGTTTCCATCCAAAACAGGTTCGTGACAAAGCATGACAAAGCCATGTTCCTTGGCGCTGTGCCATGCGAAGTCCCACCAAAACCACATACAAAATACGTGATTTCTATGGGCATCAAGCACGCTGTGCCATTGGGAAATCTTGATTGCAAGGACTTTGCCGGGCTACCGGTCGTGGCGGTCTGTGCCATGGGGGTTTGCTGGTCCCCGGACGTGTTGCTAGGACTTTCCTGGTTTAGAGTACTGGGATGAAGAAACGAATGAAGAGATGTTTGATGATGAGCCAACTG